GATCCTCCACTCCGGGATCTGCGGCCCCGGTGCCAAACAACCACATGCACATAGAATTCAGGAGGGGAAAAAACATACACACACACAATGACTCGCCGACCCCCATGCGAACATGGGAAGCTATGGGAAGCGGGGGGAAATTACGAACATCCAGAACAGATGTGAGCATATGTGGAACCCTGGGAGCTGTGTCTATATCTCTGTGTGTGTCCCTGGGCCCCGTCGACAGATATCAGAGCTTCGAGCAGATGTCTCGGAGATCGGCGCTGGAGCGCCGGAGGCGCCCCCCCCCCCCGGCGCGCTCCGCGCGCCGGGCGCTGGCGTGCCAGCACCGAGCTCCAAGACATTCCGCGCGGACCCAACGAAAGCTCGTGCGTGCGCGGGCCGGAATTTTCGGCCGGCGTGGAGCAGATTTGGAAGCGGCATGGTCGGCGTTTTTCGAGTAGGGGACCGACTAGAGAATTCGGAGGTTGATAGACCTCCTACCCTGACACGTCGATTAGGGAACTGGCCGTGTTCGGTTCGCGTGGGGGCGTCGCGGCCGTCATTTTTGCGGGTCCAGGTCCGTCGGTTTCGGTCTTAGGCCCTTTTTGCTAAAGGGTGGTTTACTAAAGGGAGGTTTGTCCACCTCCGAAGAATTGATTTATCCCATAATGGCTTTTCCGTCGGGTCTTCAGGACAAGCGCGTAGGACGTTCCGCAGATCCATGGAACATTCTACGCGTCTTTTAGTAGATTCGGCGAAAGAAGAGCCAGTCTTGGGCTTAATCCATTCTTCGGCGGGGAGCGAGGGGGGAAGTGAGAAGGAGAAGGCCTTCTCAGAAGGCGGCGGGACTTCTCAGAAGCCCTCGCGCCTGCTGAGTAGCTCTATGTGTCTCTGGGGGAGGCTTAGACAACTTTTCAGAAGGCTGGGGGACTTCCGAGCCTTCTGACCCAGACCCCCGACGTCATGTTTTTTTTTCGTGACGTCGACCCCCAGGGGTCTCGACCCAGTCCCGAGGCCCGGTGAGGGCCCCCGGATACCGAAAATAGTGAAGAACCTTTGTCGTGATTCTTACGCGACGCGAGGGGGTCCTGGGAAGAAGGCCTTCTCCTTCTCGCTGCCCCCCCTCGCTCGCCCCCGAATCCTATGGTCCGAGCCCCTGCTCGGGCTTCTGTAAGGCGATCGATCGCAAACATGGATCAAGGGGGCGTGGATTCGCGACGGGCCCCGTTTCCATCGGGAATCGCGCATTGTCGCCGCCGAGCGAGGCGGCACCCGCCGCAGTTGTTGGGAGGGCACCTCCTCCGATCCATGGATTCGGCGACGGCGCGCCAAATCCATGGATCGCTAACCTTACGTCGGGCCCGTCCCTCTACAAGGGGGAGAATTCAAAAATAGTCAAAATAGACAGGGGAAGATTTTCCTTTCGATTTTCACCACTTTTGGAGACTTTTTGGGTGTCTGTTTTGAGGAGGAGGAGGAGGAGGAGGGAGGAGGAGGATGGAGGAGGAGGAGGAGGAGGAGGAGGAGGAGGAGGCGGAGGCGGGAGGGGCGGCGCCGAGAGAGGTCGCCACGGGCCCGCCCGCGCGCGGAGGGCTCTGCGGAGGGCGCCTCGCCCGCGGGGGCCGGAGGCGAGCTGCCTCCGATGCTGCCTGCCCCTTGGCATCGCTCGGGCGTGTGCATTGTTCCTTCGGCGAGGGCCATCCAGGAGCAGCCTTGATCCTTTGGCGAAGAAGCCACGCACGAAGCCGAAGCGTGCACGGGCGACGGCGAGTTCCTGCCTCCGGAGGCGAGCCGCCTGCGCCCTGGAGGCCGCTGCCCCGAGTTGCCTGCGCTGCCTCGGCGGAGGGCGGCGGCAGGTCTGCGGACGTGGGGCGAGGCCACCTCTGCCGGCGGAAGGCCGGCGGAAGGCTGGCGGGAGGCCGGCGGCAGTACAAGTCGGACGGGGCCAGGACGAGGAGAGATCCGTTCCAGAGCACTCGGGACGCCCTGAGGTTGTTCCGGCATGCTCTGACAAGGCCGCGGCGCCCGATGCATTGCTCAGAGCCGCCAGATCTCAGAGATTCTCGATTTTATCTTCACCCGATTGCATCCTCGTCCCGGCCCGGCCTCGATTGAAGAAGATGCGCCCCCAAGAGATGACAACGATGTTGGGTTCAGGGTTTCCAGCACCCCCGCCACCCGTGGGCTCGGTGGGTGTGAGGCGCAGGGCCGAAAAGGTACGCCCGAAGGCCCTCAAGGCGTCCTGTGGGAAATTGTGTCTCTCGGAGCGCACGGCCGATGGGGCATCCTCGTCAATCTATCAGGAGAGGAAAAACACAGACAAAATTAATCCTCGATTCCCCAGAAAATATAGGAAAATATGGGAAGTGGGGGGGAAGACAGAAACCCAGAAAATATAGGAAAATATGGGTATTTGTTTATTTGTGTGTATTTATTTGTGTGTCCTGGGGCCCCTTCAATCTAGACCTCCAAAATTGGGTCCGAGTAGACGGGGTCGGAGGATCGCTCCGCATCGCCGATGCATCGGCGATGCGGCTCGATGTGGATCCCGTTTTGCTTCACGGTGACGTTGCCGACGTATCGCCGACGCATCGCCGATGCATCGCCGATGCATCACCGGTGCATCACCGATGCATCGTCGATGCGGCGCGATCTTTGGACCCCATCTACTCGGACCCCACTTGGGTGATCTCTGTTCAACCGTGTTCAGACGCATTGTGTGGCGGCGCGAAGGAATGTGCTAATGAGGCTTCAGACCCTGGAGGGCTCCTTATCTGATGGGGATGGCGGTGATGTCCACTGCCAAGCCTCAAGTGGTATTCCACCGGCTTCTAGACCCTGGGTTTCTTATCCAATGCAGTCAACCCGTACAATAAGGATGCGCGGTAAGGATGCAAGGGCCTTCGAGGGCGCCATGCTCACGTTTTTCGAACGAGGCTGTCCAGCGAAAATTGCCAAGGATGGGCCGAAGCGACAAGGATGCAAGAGTAGCCTTGGAAAGTCGCTCATCCTTACGGGCTTGTCTGTGTTTCCTTATCCACTGCCACCACTGTATTGCAACGATGATTCTTACGCCACGCTGCCGACCCCTTTGTTTTTCTTGGGGCTTCCTGGGGGTCCCTTGGGCACGTTGGGGGCGTCTTGGGGCGGACGGCTGGAATGTTCGTTTCGTGGTCCCCCTTCTGGGCCCCTGTTGGGGCCGTCTTGGAGCCCTTTTGGGTCGTTTTGGGCGCCTCGTGTGCCGTGTTGGGGGCTTCTTGGGAGCCTATGGGGCCGTCTGAGGGCGGTCTCGGAGGCATCTTGGATGGTCTTCCGCTCTGAGAAGGCCGAAACATTGTATTTCGAAGCCGACTTGGGGGCCCCTTGGGGCCTCTTGGAGGCCTCTGGGGAGCCTTTGGGGGCCTTCTGGGGGCCTCTTGGGGGCGTCTGGACGCCTTTGTGGAGCCTCATGTGGCCTCCAGGGGGCCTCTAGGGGCGAACGGCTGGAATGTTTGTTTCGTGGTCGCCCTTTCGGGCCCCTGTTGGGGCCGTCTTGGAGCACTTTTGGGTCGTTTTGAACGCCTCTTGTGCCGTGTTGGGGGCTTCTTGGGAGCCTATGGGGCCGTCTTAAGGCGGTCTTGCAGGCATTTTGGAGGGTCTTCCGCGCTGAGAAGGCCGAAAAACCGTATATGCTAGAAATGCACGTTTTCCCAATGGAATTTATAGGTTTTGGCCTCTTGGAGGCCTCCTGGGAGGCCTCTTGGAACGTCTTGGCGGCCTCTTGGGCCGTCTTCGGCCCATGTTAGGCGTCTTGGAACGATCTTTCGGCCCATGTTAGGCGTCTTGGAACGATCTTTTGGCGTCTCGGGGCTCTCTCGGACCGTCTTGGGGGCCTCTTGGGCGGCCCAGAAGCTGTCGTGGACCTCCAAAAGGGGCCCAGGAAGGGCCGGCCCCCCTGGTGAGCTCGGCCCCCTCCCTCTCCAAATCGACCGGACCGGGCTCCGGGGGGAGGGGTTTGGGGAGGGGGAAGCATCTCACGCGCCGATGATCCCCAAGGGGTCGGCGGATTCGGATCATTTCGAGCTCCTGCTGTCGTTTCCAGAGATCTCGGCGGCCCTCTCTAACTCATCGCAGTCGTGGCTCGAGCTCAGCACATTTTCCTGGAGACCTTGCGGCCCTGTCGGGAGATCTGCCTGCAGAAAGCTGCGTGCGGCCCCTGCTCGCGCCTCGCTCCTCCCTCCCTGCTCTTCGTGCCCCGATAGGCGCCTTCCTCCGAAGGAGGAGATTGCGGGCTCGAGTCCCGTCTCGAGTATAAGAAAAACATCAAGCTTGCACCTTGCGAAGCTGCGCGTCGCATCCACCTCGTGCCCCGCTCCTCCTCCTCCTCCTCGATCTGATCGCTGCCCCCGAAGAACCACCCTCTATCTCTGCTCCTCCCGCCGGGTCGGACGAAGAAAAGGAGGGGGTGCGGGAAGCGGGGTGGAGGGGTCAGGCCGCCATCCTGCCTCGGCCTCCTCTTCTTTCGGGGGCCCCGAAGGCCCCGAGAGCTGGGAGACCTGCCTGCAGAAAGCTGGGCGTCACCCGACCAGTCGTGAGAGCTGCAATCACCGATGCATCCCCCTGGAAGAGTGATGCCCTTTTTGCAGGTCGTGTCGAGGAGTCGTTCCTGGCCCGGGGCGGCAGATTTCATGATCGGGTCCGTGCCTGACAGTTCTGGGGCCTGAAAATGGCCCCTGGAGGCCGACAACCACGATAATCCGGAGTTGATGAAAACAGCAAATCGACGATTTCCAGTTGCGTTTGCTGTCCAGAGCAATGTAGTCAGTAGCTACGCTGTGATCCCTCGCCCAAGGAGATTGCAGAGAGGGGGCCAGGAGATTAGCATCATCAGCCAACGATTTCTGCAAGATGTATCCGTGCCCACAGTGGTAGGTTGCCTGTCTCGCAGCTCTCAGAGTCGTCATACATGCATTTGCTTTTTTCTCACATAAGGAAGGGCGGAAGGAAGGAAGGAAGGAGGGAAGTGCTTGTGGGAGGATGATCTGCCGGAAGTGCTACGCGCGTCTGCCGGCGCGTGCTGTGAATTGCCGCAAGAAGAAGGCGTGTTGTTTTTGGTTGAATCGCATAAGGACAACGAAGATACGGAAGTTGGCAGCAGTTTAGGTGAATGGCAGGCGTCATGAAGGCATGGTTGACGAAGTAGATCGGTATTCATGCACAAAATGCAGTGCCCATTATGCCATACATAGTGCCGATGTTGCGGTTGGGTGTGTGCATCGTGTGGTCTTTTGGTTTGCAAAGTGTTGAATGGCACGGCATTTTCAGCGTGTACCATGTCACATCCACACGAGATCGTTCTTTATAGGCTCTGGGGATAACGCGTATACCCCCCCAGATCCCCCCTCGGTAAGTTACGGTAACGCCCAGGAGCCCAGGCGTGAATCTTTGCAGTTTTCATCGGAGTTTCTAGGGATCTTGCGGAGGAGGAGGAGAAGGAGGGGGGAGGAAGAGGATGACGAGGAGGAGGAGGCGTGCAGGTGAGGAGGATTTGAGGAGGAGGAGGATGACGACGACCGACGTGGCCCAGAGGTTTCCCAAGGTGCACAGATAGTGTCGTCGTCGGCGTCGGCGTCGGCGTCGGCGTCGTCGTCCTCGTCGTGTTGCACGCAGGCGCCGTGGTGATATGGTGCACGCAGGCGCTGTGGTGTGCAACGGCGCTGCTGCGCACGCGGATGCCGCGATGCGCAGAGGCGCCATGGTGTACAGGGGCGATGTGGTGCCACGGTGCACGCAGGTGTTTCCGTTAACACACACCGACTGTGGTGCATAAGGGCGTTTGTTGCGCTGGTGCTGCGGGCGCGCCGTCGGGCGTGCACGCCCGCCGCCGACGTCAACCCCCCCCCAGGTGACACGCGTCACCCCAAAGAGATTAAGAACGATCTCCAGGTGTGCGCATAAGATATGTATAATGTAAATAGGTATATACATTTCCCCATCAGTGCTTGCTCTGAAGGGGCCCTAGCGGAAGTTGAAAGATTTGGCGAAAGTTCCCCGCCGATTTTGGTAGCAGGCTGGGTTGCCGGGTTCCCTGTTCCAGGGTCCTGGGTTCCGGGTTATTTGTTCCAGGCCGATTTCGGTGGGTTCTGGGTTCCCGAGCTCCCAGGTTCCCGGTCGATTTTTTCAGCGAAAACCATCCATTGATTGGGCTTTCTCTCTGGGGCAATTGGTACACATATATACACACGTATTTTGGAAAACAGACATAGTGGCCTTCGGCCCAACCTGCCACTGTGCCTGGGAAGTGCGCCAGGCGCGTCTTGGACGCCTGTTGCGGTTTCTCGGCGCGGCTCTCGAGATGTTTTTGGGGGGTGTCCCTCCAGGATGCGGTCGACATGATTCAAGTGATAGCAGAGGGGCTAATAGTGCCAATTAGCAGAGCGAGGCTTTGATTTTGAGAGTGAAGCAATCCGGTGCAAATGGGTTGAGGCCAGCTAGCGGAGCGGCGCTCTCCTGATGACAGCGAAGCGTTCCGGTGCACACGGGAGGCCAATTTGTGGAGCGGCGTTTCGGTAACGGGAGCCCGGCAATCTCCTGGAGCTCGATGTTGCGGATCCTTAAATTCATCATGGCGTGATGCTTCTCCAAGCCGCGACTTGCGGCACACTGGCGGAAGAGAAAAAGAGAGAGAGATACTGATATACGATATGGACGCGCAGCTGTCTGAACTACACCGTGTCAGTTGTATTAGGAGCAGGTGCATGGCGCAGTGCACACACGCAGCATATGACACGCAGCGCACGGACCACATGAGTATTGTAGATCGGATGCGATGCATTACACATGACACGGTGAATTGCACAGGCGCAGCCCATTGTGCAGCACGTTTTCAGTTTGCAGCATTTCGCATCCCACACGCACCACGTAGGTTTACGGCACGCCGCAGTCGGTCTCTCATTTCCACGTGTCGTTGGCATCACACTAATGCAGATCAGGAGTGTGTAGTTTGAATTTTGCCCAGACCCGCGTGCGGAGAAACTTGATCGCCAATGGCGCAGCACATACATAGTGATGCATGTAGTGGCTGTGTTCTGTCAGCATGCAGGGTTCTGTTGCATTCAGGAGTCAGCGCGCAATCCGCTGGCGGCAAATTGCACAGCGCCGCACAGCGCCCTTCTGGATTATTGAGGCTTCGCGCGTCCCCGTCAGCCCTTCAAGAAAGGAATCATCAGGCGAGTTGCGGTGAGAAGGGAAGTGGAGACGCACTAGAGAAGCAGAGGAGGGACACTAGCCAAACCGATCAGTCGCAGCAGGTTCCCCAACTAGCGTGGCCAACGCGGGGCCATCTGGGAGCCTCTTTGGATGCTGCTTCCTGCTGGGATTAGTTCGGCTCCTTTGGGGCCTTCTTGGGGTTCATCGGGACTCTTGGGATCCGTTGGGGATCTTGTCGAGCCCTTTTTGAGCTCGTCCTTCAGGCCAGAGGCACAAAGTCCATGTCCCTAGCTGGATTTCCCTCCCAGATTCCGAAAGATAACATATTGGGGCTCTCTTGGAGTGCCAGTGCAGGCCCTTTGGGCCCTGTTAGGGTCCTTCTGTGCTCTTCTGAGCGCCTTTTGGGAATGTCTTGAGGCTTCAGAGGCCCATCGGAAGCTATGGAAGAAGGCGAAACTCATTGTCAACATCTGCTTATCTGATCCAGCCTCCTCGGGGGGATCCTTGGGAGGCTCGTGGGCCGCGTGAGAGTCTCTGTGAGCCCTTCTGGGGGCCTCTCAGAGCGATGGATTATGCGCTATCGTGGGGGCAACCCGTGACAATCTTAGAGGCATCTGGGGCTACCTTGGACGCTCTGAGGACCCGTGGCCCTCCAGGCGGCCCTTGTATAGGGGGGGGGAGGGCGGCGGGTCGGCCCAGAGGGTTGGGTGGATCTTCAAGCTGCCCGTGGCTCCTGTCTCGGATTGTGCTTCCCTTGGCCTACGATGGTTGGATGATTCTTCTCTGCGGATCGTCGGCCGATCCCTCATCATTGTCCTCCTCCATCTCCTCTTCCTCCTCCCTCCTAATTCCTCCCTTTTTCTGCTCCTCGTCCTCCCTCTCCTCCTTATCCCTCCTCCTCCTCCTCCTCCTCCTCCTCCTCCTCCTCCTCCTCCTCGTCCTTCTCTTCCTCCTCCGTATCCTCCACATCCACTTCCTCCTTCTCCTCCCTTCCCTCCCCCATTCTCCTCCATCCCATCCTTCTCCTCCCCGTCCGTGTTACGGTCGACGGGCCCCAACCGCAGAGTCGTGGTGCCCAGTGCCTGCCTACCTCTTCTGCGCCTCCGTCTCGTTCCCTCCGTCCCTCTCCCGTGGGCGGCGGGGCCCAGCCAGGGACCTCCGTGACCCCGGGGGGCGCAGAAGAAATAACAAGCATCCTCGGAGTGCGGCCACACCAACTACCTGCGCCCGAAGAAGAAGCTGAAGTGAGGGGGCTGGCGCCAAGGGGAAGGGGGAGGAGCAGCGGGATCAGGATGAGAATGAGCCGTGGGTGGAGGAGGAGGAGGAGGAGGAGGAGGAGGAGGAGGAGGAGGGGCAGGACGATAAAAACGGCGAGGACGAGCATGAGGGACGAGTGGAGGAGGAGGAGGAGGAGGAGAAGGAAGGAAGGGGGAGGTAAAACTCGAGGAAGCGGGGAGGAGGAGGAGAACCAGGAAGGGGAGGAGGACGGGGACGACGGCGAGGAATTTCAATTGCAGTGGGGACTCGTATCGACGGACCGCCTGCCTTCTTCCCGTGCGCCCAGGGTTTCGGGGGCCGGCGGGGCCTGCAGCGAGAGCTCCGGTGCGCTCGGACCTTGACGTCATCGAAGCACTTGGCTTTCAAGGCTTAAGTCGGGCGTGTCCCCCTACAGGGGGATTTTCGACGAAATAAAGAAAATACCCCAAAAATAATCAAACATAGTCCAGAAAATAGTCTGGGGACTGTTTTGGCGTTTTTTTTTACCTTTTTGCTGAATTTTGAGAGTATTTCTCATTTTTCGTCGAACATCCCCCTGTATGGGGGACACGCCCGACTTAATTCAAGGCCTCCGAGCATCCCCAGAGATTCTGGAGTCTTGGTCTCCCTCAGCCCAAAGGATGCCCGTGTGGTCCCAGGAGCTCGCGCGGAGTCGCAGGGTTCTCGCGGTCCCTGGGGTGGGCCGAGAGAGGTCCCGAGAGTTCGGGGCCCCTACAGTGGTCATCGAGGTCCTTGAAGTTCTTGTGAGGCCACTTGTGGCTTAAGTCCCACCGCAGGACGACGAGAATGTCGACGACGCCGAGGCGGCAGCAGGGTGTCTGTCCTTTGGAGGAGAAGGAGGAGGAGGAGGAGGAGGAGGAGGAGGAGGAGGAGGAGAGGAGGAGGAGAAGGAGGAGGAGGAGGAGGAGGAGATGGAGGAGGAGGAGGAGGAGGAGGAGCAAGAAGCAGATGAAGCATACGAAGGACGAGGAGGACGACGAGTGGACCACGGCGACGACCACGACGACGAGGACAAGGACGGCGAGGGCGACGGTGACGATGCCGACCACGACGAGGCCGAGGCCGACGATGACTCCGCCGGCCGTGGAGACCCGACGCCCGCGCGCGCGCGCTCGCGGGGGCGGCCAGAAAAAATATATCGCCCCGGCCTCGCGCTGGAAGGCGCGCGGCTCCCGTGCTCCCGGCGCTTCTGTCCTCCTTGTCTGCGCGAGGGAGGGAAACACACACACACACACATACACACACAAAAACAAAAAAACAACAAACAAACACACACACACACAAAAAAACACAACAAACAACACAACAAAGAACACAAGCACACGCACACCAAACAGAAAAACACACACATAAACAAACAAACACAAAACAAACACTGGAAACACTGGACGGTGGCAACTTGGGCGCCTCCGGGTAGGAAGGCCCGAGTGGAGGAGGTATACGTTGGCACCCCTCCTCGTGGCCTTCCTCCTCGGCCGAGGGACCGCAGGGAGGGCCTCGGCCCCCTCCGGTGCCCACCGGCGGCATGGCGGGCGGATCGGAGCGGGACCCACTGGCAGCCCCTATGGTGGCGGCTGCCCTGCCGGTGGGTGGAGCTTGTGATGGTCACCACCGGAGGGGCAGAGGCCTGTGACGGTCCTCGCCGGAGGAGGGGAGGGAGGAGAGTTTCTTCCCTCCCGCGTCTCCTGTCTCCTCAGGAGACACGGGTGCCCAGGAACGGCCAGAGCTCCTGGCCGCGGGGGTCCTGGATGCGGGGATCCTGGAGGAGGAGGGCCTGGAAGAAACAAAAACCGGGCCCGACCCCCTGGGGCGGGGGAGGGGGGAGGGAGGGGGCAAGAGCTGGGCCACACGCCCTTCCCAGTGGTATCTCCAGACGGGAAACAGGCCTGCCAAAGAAGAGTAACGAATTTCTCCCCCCCCCCACCCCCACACACCCAGCAGATCGGTACGGTGGGGGCGTTCGTTAAGGAATGTGCCCAGGAGGCTCCAGACCCTGGTGGGTTCCTTATCTGATGAGGGCGGCGGTGATATCCACGGCCAATCCACGATTGGCTTTCCTCTGGCTTCCAGACCCTGGTTTCCTTGTCTAAGGGTCCCTTATCCAATGCCCACACCGTGGCCCAGGGGCGTAAGCGAGGCCCTGTCAGCACCACTGCTCTTCACGCAGGGGCCAGTGGCAGGCGAGACGGTCGCCGGTCTGGGAGGCCGCCCGACCAGAGACTCGACAAGTTGCGATCGACGCAAGCGCAAGTTGTGGAGGTGGAGGGGGAGGAGGACAAATATGTGGATAAGGAGGAGGATCAGTAGGAGGAGGAGGAGGAGGAGGAGGAGGAGGAATATGTGCCTCCACAGACACGCTCCCTCGACGTTCTGACGACGATTGTGATGTGACGGTCGCCCTTTTGTGCAGGAGGCTACCCCCCTCGAGCTCGATGCGCGCGGGCTCAGTCGGACACCGCGATAAACATCGTGTGGCGAGAGGGCAGCAGCAGGAGGAGGAGGAGGAGGAGCAAGGAAGCCATTGCCTCAACCACCTGCCTTTGCTTGGCTTCTGACTTGCAGCTGTCTCCTTTTGCCACTACCGACCCACACGTTTCACGGGGGCTTTTGCTTCTCGTCTCGAACTGCTGTGGCGCATTGCTGCGCCCCGCGCGACCCTAATGGTGGTCAGCCCGGCTTTGGGGAGAGGCAAGACGAAGTTTGAGTTCGTGGTATCGCCAGCATGCGCTCACCCCCTGCGCCTGCACATGCTTTGCTGGTCTCACTGGCGTTCGTGAGGCGGTTACTGCATCACCCGGAGCGGCCACGCGCACGCTGCTCCGGCAGCTCATGGACCACATGGGAACTCGGCGCCATTTCGTGGAAATGTTCCTCGGCGCCCCGATCCCCCCGCAGGCCGCGCTTGGCAGCTGGGCGTCGTCCCTGGGGGCGGCTACGCTCACGTCGGTGTTCCAACCCGGGGGCCCCCACACGGGGCGGTGACCACACCGTGCGGTGAGTCGGTGGGGATTCGGAGTCACCGCACGGTTTTGGGCCTCGGGTCGTTGTCCGAGGACGTCTCGGGCGACAGGGGCCTCCAGGGTCCCAAGACCGTGCGGTGACGGACCGTGCGGTGAGATCTCTTGGGGTTCCGAGGTCACCGCACGGTCTGTCACCGCACCGCCGCGGGACTCCAAGCCAACAGAGCAGGTGCCACGCGGAGACTGGGCGCACCCGCGTGGAGTTGCTCTTCGGCGCGGGCGAGGACCGCCTGGGAGGAACCCGCCAGCGCCCCCAGCCCCATCGGCCACCCCTCCCCCCGCGAGGCAGGACCCGCGACTGTTGCTGCAGCAAGTGTCCCAGGAGGGAAGGGGGGGGGGGACCCACGGGTGTGCTGATGCCCCTCGGCCACCTGATCAGCTTCCACGAGCTGGTGGACACGGAAATTCACCACCGCGCGAGGGTTGCATGAGCATTTTTCGTCTCTCGTACACTAGAGTTGGCCAGCATGTACTATCTGCTGGTTCACCGACTCCGACTATTCACCGGCATCGCAATACCGGCAGTAGCATACGGAGCAGAGGCGCGGACGTTCACAGAGCTTTTTCCGGCAGCACTTGCGACGGACACAAGGACGCGCTTCGCATGATCACCAGGCCGCCGCGGCAACGCACATTACAACACGCAGACCTACACAGCAGCCAAAGACCCACTTCTTTCGACAGCATTGGCAACGAGACGCCAGACAACGACCAGCGACGACGCAGACAGCAACCCGTTTCAGCGCGAAGCACCGGCCACTCCCGACGTGCACAGCGAGAGCGGCGATTGAAGGCAGCACAACACGACTGCAGACCCGCTGGAATTTGGGTCGGAAGCACTCAGAAAGCGGCACGACGCGCGGAGCACCTTATGAAGCTTAGCCGCATCGACAACCCGGTGACGGTACACAATCTCAAACCGAACATGTTCTTTGGGTGGAGGGCAAAGGGTGAAATCTGAAATGCCGTTTCGATGGGTTTTCGAGGCTTGAATTTGCAAAGGGTGGATGACAAGACGGATTGCTTTTCGAGGTTCACAAGCCCATATGGATTTCCCCCCGAGCCCTCCACCCTAAGAAAATATTCAGTCAAAGTACGCAGGATGGTTTCAAGAGTCGCAAACCACGACCAAACAGGGTGGACGGGGCGAGTGCTACGCTGGCAACCAGCCGTCAACCGACGCCAGCAGGGACAGAGGCACCATAGTGGCCAACGCAAGCGTTGGGACGACGCAGTCAACCCATACTCACGCCAACGCAGACCACTCCTCCATCGACCGTTCACACATACCCAATCGAGAAGAAACAAAACGACACCACATGGACGCAAGCAGCCCAAGACGCTCAGAGAAGGTTTATCCGACACGCCCAGCCCGTGCCGACACTGACATGAAGGACTTCCTCTTCTTCCTCCTCCTCCTACCTTTCTCACCTTTCACGTGTCTCGCATTGCATGTATCCAGACAAGGTTATCGAGGCTACGGCCTCGCCCGCCTGGTCTGAAATAGGCCCGGGCACGGTCCGCAACGGTGGTCGCACCGGATCGCGTCGCACGCCCAGCGAGCATTCGTTATCATTCATTGCTCCATCCATCCACCGATGCTGCCAAGCGTTGCTATGTCACCAGGGCACAGCCGCAGCTTGATTTGAATGGGTGCTGGAGTGTTGCACATACGAAATGTCCACACGTTTTTTCGATTGAGCTTCCCCGTCAGATGTTGCAGCGCATGCTCCCAGTCTCCGTGCGCCGCAGCGACGGGCCCGGATCTGTCTGTCGCAAGTGCTTCGATGGGACATGGGCGACCCACGCTGCGCGGAAGGATGCTGATCAAGACCTTCACGACTGAATCCTTTCGCGACAGCCCGCGATCGTGTCATCCACAATCGCGCGGTGTTGGTACCCAGTCGAACGTCCAGCGCTGCCTGGCTCAGGGTAGCGCTGCCCAGTGTG